ATTTAAAGAAATTTTGATGTTAAGTCATCTTGAATAACTAATGGTATGTCGGGCTATCGACGTTAAACTAAGCGCTTTGTGGGAGGCAACCCATATATATATATATATATATTACATGTTTAATAAGTGTTTTATATATTAAGAAATAATAATATTTTTGAATCCTACACAAATTTTTATATAAAAAATTAAGACAAATATTGGTATTCGAGGAAAAAATTGGAATCGAATTGCAGAAAAAAATAAGAGACACTTTTGGCCTGAGTCGCGCCAGAATGGGCGCCGACGACGCCCATCTACACGAGTCATGGCGCCGACAGCACCATCGGGAGCGTCGACAGGGCCTAGAGCAGTTCGTGCAGTTCAGAAAGTATTTGTTAGACTTTAGCGGGATTGCACTTCAAAATAACCGCCGAGATGTGTTCTTAAAGGCCCATAAACTTCCTTAAACGACCAGAAACTTCCAAATTTTGAAATTCATGGCTTCCAATTCCAAAAATACTTCAAGGTATGGAGTTTTCAATAGAAGAATGTTTATCAGTTTTGACGCGCAGAGATTATACGACAAAGTCATTACGAAAAAGAGACTTATCAAGGAGAGAGGCTTTATCAATCATTGATTGATTAATCCAAGTTCTCAGATTGATAAAATCATTGTACAGAGACGTTGAGAAGTTCTATGCTACACTACCGCTGTAGTTGTTGTACTAGTAGTAAAGGAATTGTATGTTAATTTACATGGAATTACCCAAGGAGTTGTCTTCGTTTGAGGTAAGGGTATACCATTTACTCCGACTCGAATTAATGATTTGTATATGATAGAAAACGTTCCAATCTGTCGTTATACAAATTTTATCCCAATGAGAGATATGATGCAAGATGTATATAACTTTTTAACGGATAAAAATGATAATTGGGAAATTAGAGATGAGGGATACGTTAGTTTATCTACTTCACTGCTTAATACAATATCAAAATAATGACATCTATTCATATCTGTAAAATTACTCCTTACCATGAAGATTAGTAGAGTTACAAAAGAAAGCGTCATTTTAAATTATTGCTTTCAAATGGAGAAGCCCATTGATGTGGGATCGATTATTTTTAAATCTATTCTGGGAACTAAAGGAATTAAATTTTAATCGAAAAGATGCTGGTGGAAGAAGATTATTGCAACTCAAGGAACTTGAGGAGATTAGAAATGAAACATATGATAATTCACAAATCGTAATTCACAAATCTATAAAAAGAAATTGAAAATATGGCATTATTGGAAGATTTTTAAAAAGAAGTTTGAACCTAGACAATAAATTTTATTATATAATACAGGATTGAGATTATTTTCAGGAAAACTGAAATAAGGATGGTTATGACAATTTAAAATGATTAAAGTCTATCATTAGGGAACTGTCCTTATTTAAAATCCTAAAATTGAAAAGATATTTAAAGTTAATGGACATCGATTGAAACATTATTATGAATGACACGTGACATAATTTAAAGAAATTTTGATGTTATGTCATCTTGATTAAACATTGGTACGTCGGGCTGACGACGTTAAACCAAGCGCTTTGTGGGAGGAAACTCATATATATATATATATATATATATATATATATAATATTGGTATTGGAGGAAAAATTTGGAATCAAATCGAACAAAAAACATAAGAGACGCAAATTTGGAATGAAATCGAATATGAAGGACACACGCCATCTACACGAGCCATGGCGCCGACAACGCCGAGAGCAGTTCATGCGGTTCAGAACGTATTTGTCAGACTTTGGCGAGATTGCACTTCAAAATAACCGCCGAGAGGTGTTCTTAAAGGCCTAAAAACTGTCCTGGACTACCAGAAACTTCCAAATTTTAAAATTCATGGCTTCCAATTCCAAAAATACTTCCAAGTATGGAGTTTTCAATAGAAGAATGTTTATCAGTTTTGACGTGCAGATGCAGAGATTATACGACAGAGATTATACGACAAAGTCATTACAAAAAAGAGACTTATCCAGGAGAGAGGCTTTATCAATACTTGATTGATTAATCCAAGCTCTTAGATTGATAAAATTATTGTGCAGAGACGTTGGGAAGTTCTATGCTACACTACCGCTGTAGTTATTGTACCAGTTGTAAAGGAATTCTATACTAATTTACATGGAATTACCCAAGGAGTTTTCTTACTTCGATGTAAGGCTGTACCATTTACACTATATTATTTACTCTGACTTGAATTAATGATTTGTATATGATAGAAAACGTTCCAATCTGTCGTTATACAAATTTTATCCCAATGAGAGATATGATGCAAGATGTATATAACTTTTTGACGGATAAAAATGATAATTGGGAAATTAGAGATGAGGGATACGTTAGTTTCTCTGCTTCACTACTAATCCAATATCTAAATAATGACATTTCTTCATATCTGCAAAATTACTCCCTACCATGAAGATTAGTTGAGTTACAAAAGAAAGTGTCATTTTAAATTATTATGGAAAAACATGTCACTTACATGTAGAATTAGAGCATAAAGCATTTCGGGCTATTAAGGAATTTAATTTTAATCTAAAAGATGCTGGTGAGAGAAAATTATTGCAACTCAATGAACTTGAGGTGATTAGAAATGAAGCATATGATAATGTACAAATCTGTAAAGAGAAAATGAAAATATGACATGATCGAAAGATTATTAAAAAGAAGTTTGATCCTGGACAAGAAGTTTTATTATATAATATAAGATTTTGATTATATAGGATTGAGATAATTTCCAAGAAAATTGAAATCCAGATAGTTATGACCATTTAAAGTGATTAAAGTTTATCATTATGAAACTGTCGTTATTAAAAATCCTAAAACTGGAAAGATATTTAAAGTTAATGGGCTTCGATTGAAACATTATTATGAAGGACACATGTCATAATTTAAAGAAATTTTGATGTTAAGTCTTCTTGAATAAACAATTGTACGTCGGGCTGACGATGTTAAACAAGCGCTTTGTGAAAGGCAGCCCACACACACACACACACACACACACACACACAGAT